TCTTAAAGTATACATGTAAAACTGAAAAAACAAATAAGGCTAGGTATACTCTGAAAAAGTGCATTGTGTGGGTAGGTGAGGTAGAATTTAGCTCTGCCAGATACTAAAGCATGTTATATAATCTATATATATAAAAAACCCAAATATGCAAATAGACCGAGCAGCGGAACAACCGAGCAACTGGTCGCTTTGATGTGCACTGACCATCAGGAGGTGCAAGTGGAACATGGCAAGTGTTGACCATGGCAGGATGATTGAGCTGGTGAGCAGGGGCGCCAGACCAAGGCAGGGTGCTGGTCACTGTCATCAGGGCGGGTCTCTGATAGTTACTGAAAACTCTTTGCTCCCACAGGCTGTGGTCCCGCCCAGCATTCGCACCTGCTGCCTGTGCCAGCCTGCTTGCACCCACTGCCAGTGCCTGGTGCTGTACCCGATCGCTTGGCACTGTCAGTGGGTGTGAGCAGTGACTGCTGGCCCCGATTGCCCCTCAGGGCTTCTCCACCTTCCTCTGCTCTTTAGGGGCGATCAGGGCAGCAACCGCCACTCGCACCTGCTGACAGCACCAGCCCTGCTCTCACCCACTTCTGGCGTTGGCCCCAATAGCTCCGTGCCATCAGGGGGTGCAAGCAGGGCCAGCACCGTCAGTGCATGGGAGCAGCGGCAGCAAGAGTGGGGCTGTGGGCAGATGGGGCCAGGGCCACAGTGGGTTAGGTCAGGTGGGGGAATGTAGGATGGGCCAAGACCAGCCCCTGTGCCCACCGCAGCCTCACGGCCTATAGTTCCTTTCAAGGTGCACAATTTTGTGCACTGGGCCCCTAGTTTAAATAATAAAAAACATGGTACTGTTTCATTGATAATAAAAAATATGCAAAATACAAAGTTCAAAATCTTAGTCATGCAGAAATTTTGCATATGACAAAATTGCCATTTGAATCAGAGTAAATAGGGACTAATCAATAATTGATGTCAAACAACTGGGTAGTCACCTGGAAAGAAAAGTTAGATTGGTATTTTACAACATTCCATATTAAATGAAAGTGTTAAATATAAAAATTAAAAAAAAACACAGAGAAATGTTACACAATTACTTTATAACTTTGAATGGAGAAGGCCTTTGGATCTTTAATCAAAATTTAGACATCAGAAAGAAAAAATTGATCATGTGACTACATGAAAAGGAAAAATGTCTCCTTGTGAAAGTTGTCATAGGTGCAGTCAAATGCCAAAAGGAAAATTCAGGATGAATATAAAGTATTTCTAAAGATATGTGAAAATACTCATCTTTACTCATAATGAGAGCAAAGAAAAATTTAAAAGCACCATAAATATATAATTTTTCTTTTAGTAGTCTGGAAACAAAATGAGAGTTTGACAACTTGGTGATCTTATCCATTGCTGGCAAAATGTAAAATGACTCTAATATCTTGGCAGGGAAATATTAGAAATGTATATATGATTTGACCTAGCTCTTTCATCACATATACTTCCCATGCATATGTTGAGTAATATATATGAACGATTATACTTGGCATCATTGGTTATTTAAGCAAAAGAATAAGCACAGATGTATAAATGATTGTGGAATACTCCCAGTACTGATTTGACAATCAATGAGATACATGATAAAAGGAAAAGAAAGGAAGTAATGCAATAATATAGAATCATGTGTAATAGTCTACCTTTTAATTCTTTATATTCAACTTGTGATTATCTCTCTGGAAGGCTTTTTCTATGTTCTTTGCCCCAGTGTTGACATTTTACTATTTTTGGAATTTGGTGAATTATATTCATATTATTTAATTGAGATATAATTGACTGAAATACTATGTGAGCTTCAGGTACACAACATTATCTTACCTAATAATAGACAAACTTGTAAATTGACCGTCCCTCCACTACGCTCACTAGTCAATCAGAGTGATATGCAAATTAACCCAACAAAGATGGCGGTTAATTTGCATATGCAGGTGTGGAGCAAAGAGTGAAGACAGCATAGAAGGAAGCCAAGCGATGCAGAAGGGAGAGAAGCGGCGGAGAAGCGAACGGATCGGAGGCAGCCGAGACAGGATCGGAGGCGCGGCAGCAGAGACAGAAGGGAGCGAGACAGCAGAGATGAGAGGGAGCCGAAAAGGCAGAAGCAGGAGGGAATGAGGCGGTGGAGATGGGAGGGAGCTGAGGTGGCAGAGACAGGAGGGAGCGAGGCAGTGGAGAAGGAAGCGAAGCCTGCCTCAGTGGGCTTCACTCCCTTCTCTGCTTTGCTCTGGCCTCAGGAAGCCCTATTCTTTTAGGAATCTTCCTGCAATGGGCCTCTAGTGATTCTATATTTGTACATAATAAAAGTGATCACCACAGTAATTGTAGTTAACATTATTCACCATATCTTTTAAGCTTCTCAAAAATTATTAACACATTAAGCACCCAGTCAGTCACCAGTGACTGACACTATACTTTCCCTCTGTAAGACAAAACAGGCTGGGCACTTAACATGTTAAATGCTAGAGGGCCCGTGCACAACATTAATGCACTGAGGGGTGTGTGGGGGAGTCATTCAGCCTGGCGTGTGCCTCTAGCAGTCCAGGACCCCTTGGAGGATGTCTGTCTGCTGGCTTAGGGAGCAGGCCTAACCCAGCAGGCGGATATCCCCAAAGGGGTCCTTAGAGCTGCTGCGGAGGCAGGAGAGGCTCCTGTCACCGCCGCTGCACTCTTAAGCCATGAGCCCGGCCTCTGGCTGAGCTGTACTCCCCCTGTGGGAGCATACTGACCACCAAGGTGCAGCTCCTCCATTGAGCATTTGCCCCCTGGTGGTCAGTGCATTTCATAGCGACCGGTCATTCTGCTGTTCGGTCGATTTGCATTTTAGGGTTTTATTATATAGGATATGTGCTCACTGTTATTTCCCCTTCCATTACCTCTGTGGGTTAAAGCATTTGTTTTATTATTTTAATACCTCTTTTGAGGCTTTGGGAGGAAAGGACAATAATATCTCAGTTAAATTCAAATATTTAACAAGTACATCATTATGGCAAAATATTGACTTATAAATTGGAACAAATTAGATAAATGTATAAATTCATAGAAAAATGCTAGTTGGGAAAATGATTCAATAATAAATATGAAATGTGAATAATCCTATAAAAGCTCAAATAATAAAATAATATAGTTTTTAAAAAACATTTCAACAACAATAAAATCATGGAAATATATGGTTTTCTATACAAGTTATTTCTAATATTCAATGAAGAATCACTAGTTGAACTCCTCACAAAAATATTAAGGAACATTCATTAATTTATTATATGAGGCCAGCATACCATATTTGAATTATTTTCATCACATTAAAGGTATGATTTTTATTGACATTAAATTTACTGAATATTTTCATTTCTTGGGTCTCATCTCTAAGAGACCCATTCATTGGCTATTTTATTATTAATATACTAATCATTTTCTATAATTATAAGATTGTAAGCAGTCATATTATACCTGTAATGTCAAAAAGAATTGGAACATTATGCTGGCTTCCTAGCTTCCTCCTTTTTTTCCTGAGTGATATGTGAGATTTCTAAATTAGATCTGCACACAGCAGGGAGATTTCAGCTTGAAAACCATCTCCACCTTAGAATTCAAGTGTCATTTGCAAAGCTTACAAGATATTTTTCAGAAAGTCATGCTTCATGAACCATAGACTTTAGGTTTGTTAACCATAAGCAATCCAAAATCGTAGTGTTAGCTATAGGATTCTGTGGATAAATAATATCTCTCTACCAAATATTATTGGTCTATTTACTAGGAGGTGTATCTATGTTTACATGGAGATTTATCAGGTCTCCTGTGTTCTTTCATTTCCTGTAATGTTGCATCCATTATTAAAAGATAATAGGTTCTCAGTTCAGCCTAATTAGTTCCTTTCTGCCCACAAGTTTGAGATCTCATTTGTGTGTGTGTGTGTGTGTGTGTGTATGTTTTGTTTGTTTCCAAATTTCTCATTCCCTAGTTCCCTATCTGTTTAGCAATCATATTCACCTTCCTCTGTAGATACTTCAACACATTTATCATAGATATTTTACAGTCTTTATGCAATAATTCTAAGTCTGGGACATCTTTACATATGTTTTTACTAAATTTCCTCTTGAATATATGTCATATCTTTTACTTTTGTGCAATCTCATTTTTATTGCATCATAGAAATTATATCTAACAATAGAGTGTGAAGTAGTTAAATTATTTATGTATATCTGCATCTATACCTACACATACACACAAGCACGCATATTCCCTTCCTTCATTCCTTCCTGTGAGAAAATAAGGATGAGGTCCTGATTATTTTTCTATCACAAATGCTTTATTTTTTAAAATTTCTTTTGAAGTGGTTCCCTATACAACTATAGTATGTAAAATTATTTTTATAAATATTGTTTATAGTAACTACATCATTTTTCAGTTATTAATTGAAAACTCATTTGACATTTGATTAGTTTTTAATGGATTAGCCTGGATACTGTGTCTTATACTGATGCTCTGTATTTCAGGCTACATTTTTTAAAAACTTATCTTTATTATTGAAAGTATTACCCCCTTTTTGCACATTGAACCCCTCCAACCCATACCTGCTCTTCTCCCCCCTTGCAGGTCCTCACAGCACTGTTGTCTGTGTCCATGGGATGGATGGATATATATATTTCTTTGGTTAAGCTCTTCCCATCCCTCAACCCCATCCCATTACTCCTGGCTTTCCCTCTGAGATTCATCAGTCTGTTCCCTGCTTCTATGTCTCTATCTATTTTGTTCATCAGTTTATTTTATCTCAGGCTAATTTTAAAATGAGATCGTTGGGCCTTATATTTTAGGTATCTTTCATATTTAGTGCTCTATAGATATAGAACCTTATTTTGTGATCGATGTCATATTGATCTGATCAAGTAATTTGACAATTCTCTTTAGTACTTAAATGTGACTTCAAGTTTGGAGAAGTTATTTTCTTTTTTTTGTTTGTTTGAAAGTATCTGAAGGTGAAAAGTGTGAAGTGACTGTTGATACTTACTTCTTTCTCACTGAAAATTGCACTGACAATGCAGACTATGTGAACAAATCTGAAGACATTGATTATCCATGTTTGTTTCAATGTGAAAAAAATGGAGGTAAGGTAGCATTTCTCATATTTCTCTTTAATTCCTATTGGTCTGATTTGAAAAATGTTAGAAATGTTAAGTTTACAAACTTAAATTCCAAGATTTGCGCAGCTTAAATAGAACTTCATAAACAAATTTTCAACAATCTACTTGGAAATCTTTTTTTTCAAAATTTTTTAATGTTTATAATATAGAAGGGTAATGAAGAGTTTTAACAATCATTTTTTTCTAGTCTTTTTGTGTTTTATTTCTGTTATAATTTGCTGACTGATTAAAGCCTCTTAAACACAACTATGATTATGCCATCTTTTTGTTTAGAGATCATAAAGAACTATGATTGTGTTTTGGAATATACTTAAGTCTCTGGAAAATTTCTAATCTCTGTGCAATTTTACCACTAACAATTATGGGGCCCAGTACAAGAATGCCAAAAGTGGCCCTCTTTCCCGCCATCTTGCCTTCATCTTGTACAAATTAGGGCAATATTTTCAAACAAATAACAATAAGAAACAATGATTTTAGGATATTTATTTTAAGGAACATTTGTCAAAATGATTCAGAGGTTTTTAAAAAAGTTTAGAGTTAATAGAATATTTATAACCTCACTTATCTAGACACAACCTAATTTGGCTATTTTATAGAAAAAACATTTAATTTTATTTTTATATTTGGCATATTATTCATATTCAAAATTAATAAAAAGGTATAATCCTTTTATTAATAAATCCATTAACATTAAGCCAATTTTATAAAAAACACAGTTTACTTCAAAAGCAACCAACTAAAGGGGCATTACAAATAAAGAGAAACAGACTTCAAATTCCTCAGATGTTTTAATTTCACGTATACCCTCATTTTTTTTTATTTTCTTAAGTTACACACATATATATTAGGCTTAATATAGTTTTACATGTATGCATTTAGGCAATTAAAGGTATATGACTATGCTATAGATGACTAAAGTTTTTATCTTTAGGATATACTGTACTTTATTAGCATATTAAGGAACATTATTAAAATTACTAATTAAATAACTGTATACTTTCTCTTAGGATAAAAACAAGCAAATCATATTTATTATCTTGTATACATAGTTCTATTTCTTTGTTTTCTTTTAAAATAACTACCGACTTTAACTACAGTAACTAACATTATTTTTTTAAGACTGAAGAGAAAACCTGAAGACAGCAATCAAATAATGTTTTAGCTATTTTATTTTTTCATGATCACACATTTTATCTAACTTTTACAACTTTTATGTTAATGAAAATAAACATAAATATGCCAACATAAATATACAGGGTGGGAAAAAGTAGGTATACAGTAGTTCATATGGAAAATAATACAATAATTAATAAATAATACAAAATTAACTGTGGGCTTCTGGTCAAGATGGAAGTGTAGGTAAACATGGTACGTAAATCCTCCAACAACCAAATGAAAAATACAACTAAACTTTAGAACACCATTGAAAAACTGCCTAGGGAGTTAAAGAAGCCACATGGAGACTGGTAGGAGGGGCGGATATGCTAAACAGCTGATCTGACACCCACTTGTGGCAGTTTATAATTGCAAGGAATGTCTTGGCTGAATTCCCCACTGAGAAGCAAGTGTTCCTAGCCCTACACCAAGGCCCCCCAGCCCAGGGTTCCAGTGCCAGGAAGAAAAGTCCCCATAACTTTGGGCTGTCAAAACCAGAGGGTATTGTAGCTGAGGGAGACAGGACGGATGCTGGAGTCCCAGGCAGTTCCTCTTAAAGGGCCCACACATGGACTTACTGGGACTCACCTCTTCTGAGCTTCAGTGATTTGGCAGCAACTTGAAAGGAGCCAGAGACATACAGACAGCAAAAAAATTGTCTGGCATCAGGGCAAAGCTGAAAGGGGGAGCAGCTTTCTGCCAGATAAAAGTGCTGGCAGAAGCCATTATTCCTTTGTTGAGCTTTCCCCTTCCACAGAACTGACAGAAGGGTGCCATATTTGAGTGTCCATCAAGTGGTTCATACTGTTCACCCCACCCTGGTAATTCTCTGAAACTTGAAAGCTAATTCAAGCCATTTTCAGTGGCTTTTCTATACAAGTGTCTCTCTTGCCTCATGCTTTGGGCTTTCCTAAAATCTCTCAAATGATCAGCATCTGGCCTCTACATACCCTATACCTATCCAATCACTGGGTTTTACACCTGAATCTAATATGATATTGTATGTCAACTGTAATTGACAAATAAAACATGATTTAAAAATTTTAAAAAAGAATTACAATTTGGCAGTTATAAAATAGTCACTGGTATGTAAATTACAACATAGGGGACATAGTCAATAATATTGTAGTAACTATGTACGGTGTCAAGGGGTACTAGAATAATGAAAGAGATCACTTTTTTTTATTTTTTTTAATTACAATGGTAGTGACCATTGGTAATGCTTATCTGCAAATATACAAGTCCTTTGGTTGATCTCTTACCCCCGCCCCCTTCCCTCTGAGGTTTGACTGTCAGTTCGATGCTTCTCTGTCTCTGGATCTATTTTTGTTTATCGCTTTATGTTGTTCAATATATTCCACAAATGAGTGAGATCATGTGGTATTTCTCTAAAGGTCTAACCACTGTTCTCTATGCCTGCAACTGACATAATATTGAATGCAAGCTGTAATTTCAAAATATTAAAACTTGATTTTTTTCAATTAAAATAAAAACTAAAAGAAAAAAATAAACTTTGTTCCTCATACTCAGAACTATAAATCTACTTTCACACATACTGTACATCAATTAATTATATAGGATGGCCCAAAAAATGTATACACAGACTTTGAATAATTATAATGATTAATAAAATACATTTCATTTTTTAAATTGAGCTATCAGTTGTAAAAGTGTCTACTACATATTTTTATTTCCTGATTTGCATTCAATAGGAAATAGGGTTAATTTTAAATTATATTTAGAGATTAATATTTGTATATTTTTCTTAATTTCTCAGGTATTAAATGTTAATTTATTAATTCATTTTAATATCAGTGTAAAATATTGATATTGTCCAAGGATTTGGAAGTTGCAATTTACACCATCATGTTAAGTCCTTATGATTTGTAGTATTATCAGCAAAACTTTCTAGTACATCCGTGTAGGTGAATCAACAAAAAATTACAAGATTAAAACCTTTTAAATTATATAAATTATTAAAATGTCAATTATTCCAATTTTATATTTTTAAAATTATTAACAATCTGATGAAACTATGATAGAATAGTTCTTCCAAGGTTTATAATCATTCCCATTTGCCTAAAAAGTCATTTATTTATTGGGAAAGTCCATAAACTCTCTTAAATATAAATAAATGTCTATGTTCATATTTTTTAAATCAAGACGTTCAAGTTTATGCCAAAACTCTAAGAGCCTAATTTTCTATTCATATAAAAGACTAAATACCTTACCCATTCACATTTACTGCTTTGCTAAATTTTTGGCAAAGACAAAACACATAATTTAAGCACAGTTTATCATTTTCCTTTTCCTTGTATTTTTGACTATTTGATCAATGGTCCTACAATATACATATAATGACAGAAAAATAATTATGATCAATAAATATTATAATTTTTCAAAAAAAGCAAAAATAAAGAAGTGAAGGGGAGCTAAATTCAGGCTGATGTAAAATCATGATTGTTAAAAGTTAATTATCTCCTAGCTGCAAAGAGTAGTAGAGGCTTAAGTACAGAAAAACTTATTTTTACAAAAACAAGTTGTTAATATGGACAGTTTAAACAATAATTTACACCCTTGACAATTCCACAGAGCCATGTAATTAAAAAGCTAGTGCTTATTAATCCTCAAAGTGTAAAAATGAACTGGGGGGTTTTTATACGTCAAACACTATTATACATCAAATCTCCTTATGAGAATAGAGATTTTCTTTTTGTTTTAATGCATCTGTCAAATGAGCAATTTTGTCAAAACTTCTACAGAGTGGCCACTGCAATTATAGATTGTCCTTGGGGGAATTATAGCAATTAGAAAGGTATGTACATGAGTTACAACATGAAGGAAGGAATGCATGATGTCCAAGACTGAAAGGACCCCATGAAAATATATGGAGGTGCTTGTGTAATGTCATGTCTTATGAAATGCCAAAGAGTAGTCAATCTCAACTGAGGACCTGACAAAATCGTGTAAAAAGATTTTGAAAAGGTGGCGTAAGGAAAATTTTGTCCTAGAAATGCAGACTCGTGTGACCATATAAATTCACTGTTCATTAAATTAGCTAGATGATGAAGTTGTAAGATCTATGTCTATCTCTCTAGATTAAACTGGATCCTATAATCAAACATTTTCTAAAATGTTTTCTTATTCTTAGGAGACAAACTAAACTTAACATTTGGGAATCTGATGAAAAGGAATTGGAGTTCAGATCTGAAACTGTCCCTATGTCACTGTCTGTTGGAGAGAAGAATCTTCATTGGTCTCACAGCAGGGTGCTGTTTGTAATCTAAGGTCCTCAAATTTGGTAGTGAGGGCATCTTAACTGGCTCTTTACAGAACTGTGTGTTTGTTCATGGTTGCCCCTTCAAAAGACTACCGGACAATTCCTTTGACCAAGAAAAGTAATTCTCTCAGATTTATGCAGTAAGGAAAAACAACACCTTATAGAATCTTATAAGTGTTTCAGAAGGAAGAAGTTATCAGAAGATATTTATGTTTCAGAGCCTTGGTTGTCAGCTGATAGGGCTTTACTTGAAATGATCAGTAAGAATTTATATATATAGCTTTGTATGGTGGGCACAATGTGATGCTAATCTTAAAGTGAGTTTGATGAGTAAATTGTTAGTCTTGGTAAGTAACTTATTTTAGTTAATTCACAATTTTACCTTTTAGGAGCAAGTATTTCATGGAGCAAAGAGTAAGTCATTTTTGCTGTTTTTGTTATTTTAGGTTCATTTCAGTTTTCATCATCAAAGACTGAAGTCCCAAAAGTATTATTTCACTTATTTTGTTAAAAAGCAAACAACAACAACAAAACCCCCTTTATACTGTAGAAAGGTTTTCTAAAAGTATTTCCTACTACTGATTTGTTGTGGGGAACAGTTAGAAATGTTCATGCATAAGCAGGATGAATTGGTGTCTACTGGTCAGCTTTTCTTTTTTCTTTTCTTTTCTTTTCTCTTTTTTTTTTTGTTAATCCTCACCTGAGGATATTTTTTCCCACTGACATTTAGAGAAAGTGGAAGGGAGAGGGAGGGAGTGAGAGTGACAGCAGGCATAAGTGCAAGAGAGAGAGAGTGACAGAGAGACAGAGACACCAAGACATTTAAAATATTCTATTTCTTATTTTTTATAGATGTGTGCAAATGGATGCATTTGTTTGACTGAGAAGGAAATAAGGGATATTTTTATCTATTTATTCCCAGAAGTCCTGGGAAAATGTATCTGGAAAATACAAGAAAGTCAGTGTCAACTTGAAGCAATTTATGAAGATGAATTTAATATATCTAGGTATTTATACATTATATTATGTATAATAATATGAGCACATATATAGGAAAAAGAATATAGACATATAGAAATACATTTTCTATATTACACTAGAATTAAAGTTAGTATCTGTGGTAAATAAAATCTGGAATAGATTCTCATATATTAAGATGTATATGGTTAATACCAGAGCAACTACCAAGAAAAGCCTATATAATAAAGAGGTAGTATGCAAATTGACCCTCACTCCATCACACCATCACAAGATGGCTGTACCCACAGTGGAGGCAGGGTTCCTGTAACACAAGATGGCTGTGCCCACAGCAGAGGTGGGGTTCCCATGATGAGCCATAAGGAGTGATCAGCAGGGACCTGAGGCTGTGTGGCACTGGGCTGGGGTGGGGGACCTGAGGCTGCACCCCACACCTGGCAGGGCTTGACGGAGGTGGGGCCGGCCAAGTCTGGGTCTCGTGCGATTTTGAGGTGCACGTGGGTTGGCGGGGACTACATTTTACTAATTTTCTTTCATCTCTGACACTTATATTATAGAGAAAGGGCAAATAGCAATATTAAAACATTTCCTCTAATTAATTCCCTTTTAATGTGCATGAATTTCATGCACTGGGCCACTAGTAACAAATAAAACAGCAAAAAAAGCATTAAAATTTTGACCTGGAACTATATACTTAATATAAAAGGAGGTATTATCAGAAGCATAAAGGTATTAAAAAGACATGAGACATAAGAAAAACAAATAGGAAAATGGCAGACATAAACCCAACTATATAAATAATAACATTAAAATATTAAAATCAAATGGATTCAAAATTCAAGCAAAAGGCAGAGATTTTCAGCCTAGATAATTTCTGGACATACCCAAGTATATGCCATCTATAGGAGACACATTCTCTACATTTAAATGTACATTTAGCTTAAAAGTAACAGATTGGGAAAATATATATCATTCAAATAGCAACCATTGAAAGCAGGAGTATCTATATTAATATCAAATGAAATAGACTTTAAAAGAAAAAAAATGGTTACTAGAGAAAACCAACCACATTATATAATGAGAAACGATCTAATCCATCAGAAGATGTGTCAATTATAAGCATATGTGCCAAACAACTGACACCCAAAATAGATAAAACAAAAACTTATTAAATAAAACAATGACAGTACTATAATAATGTTAAATTTAACAACTTTTTTGAATGAAGAAAACTAACAATAACAACATAATAATGTTAACAATGAGTTGATAATGTATAGACCTTTTACTATTGAAATATACTTTCTATGAGTGCAGCTTAAAATACATAATGTAAATGAAGTATTTTACAACGGTTTGAGTATTTACCACAGTTTTGCCCTAAAAGGGACAAAAACATTTCTGAAAATTTTGCATAAACTTAATGAAAGTGGGCCAGTGGGTCCCCTAGCTATGTTTTCAATCAGGAAAGGGTAGTTTTGTGATAAGTATTGGATTTAAATTTCTCAACACTAGACTGAAGTTTTTGTGTATCCAACCCATATATGAAGCTTTCAATCTATGCTCAAGTCACCAATCCCTACTTGCTACCAGAAATAGCATAACAAAATGAAACCCACTCATTCACACATTTCTTAAACCTTTATTCAATACTTTCTAATTGGAAAATGTTTGGAAATAAGATCTGATTCTTATCCCCTTGTAATGTATCATCCATAGGTAAATCAGAATACATCTCATAGCTATTTATGTAGAAAGCAATTATATTTTTAACTTCTAAAATAACTATTATTTTTACTTTGTAAACCTACAAGTAGTTTGTGTTATAGCAATTTTATGACTGACTTTCTGGAAACTTTCAAATAAACTGGTTTCTTTTAAGGGCTATTTTAGGAGCTTACATTTTCCATGTAATGCTAAATATGACCAAAACACTATTTTTCATTTATAAGCAATAGTTCTGTTTTGAAGTGTAAAATCTGAAGTCCACGATAAAATCAAGTATAGTTTCAAACCTATTTCTATAGCGTCTGGAGGCTTGAATAAATACAACTGTATGTGAATTTGCCACAAATCTATTTTGTTCAGAGTTTTCTTAAATTACTTCTGAACCAGGAACTCTAATAATTATTAATTTCTAAGACTATTATAATTTTTGCCATAATATCAGTGACTTTTTTTTATTACATTGAATTTTGAATGTACCATGAAAATTTTCCTGCCTCCCAGGCAAAAGTTTTTGTGTTACATTTTACTTTGAAACATATTTAAAAAGGAGTAAACTGGACTGCATATATATGATGTATGTGTGCTTGTTTTTGAACAGTCTTGATATATTAAGCCACATTTTCTCTAGTGGCTAGAAATTTTTTTCTGTTGCATGTACATGTGTTGATATATTATTTTTCATCTTTATTTTGCCATGGAAAAATGAAATAACCTTGCTTCCTTAAGTTTTATAGTAAAATGATATAGAGGTGATTATTTATTTAAGCAATTCTAAAGTAAATATTGTAATGTCCATATACATCCTGAAAATTAATTGTAGTATACCTCATTAAAAGAAGTAGTTTTGTGTAATTAAATGTCAATAATAGTGAGTTGAAATTTAGCTAATGTATATAAAATTATACGTCATGTTATCATTTTTTTCTTTCATCTGAAAACCAATATATGTGCTATGCACATAAAGTGAAAGTTTGACTATATTATAGTTTCTGGCTCTATGACTTTATGCTTTAGATTCATATGTCAAACAAAAATTGTGTGCATGTGATTAATATGATTTTGTGTACCTGGGCCAGATTTTTATTTTACTTGATAATAGCTAAATAGGTTTTTATAGGTCTAACCTTTTTCATTGCTTTTCACATTTTCTTCTAAGACATGAAATGTCATGAAGCTGTTTGTTCAGAACCTTTAAGATGACCTTTCTCTGGAGCATAGCTCAATTATGAAATAAACTTGGTGATTATATAGTCAAACAATATTAATGGAGCATCTACTGTATATAAGGCATATAGATTATAATCTTGATATTTAGGCTAACAAATAGAGTAATATATTTAACTTCTTCTATCCCAAGAATATATTTCCATTAAATGATAAAAAAATTAACTTTCAATATTTAAAATGAGACCATATTTTAAACTTAGACTTTCACCTAATATATTTCTGTTATGTCTTTTCAATTATACCATTCACTTAATTCAAATTTAAGTACAATTCTAGTTGATTTATTTATTTAAGTCTTTTAGTGCAATTTATTTTCTCAAAGTTAAAGTTCTTGGAATTTATAAAAATATTTGGAACATTTTAATAATATATGTGGACCACTATGATTTTCTTGACTTTTTATTTTTTTAACAAAATTGATGTACTTGTCACTGAATTGCTTTCAATTTAATAGTAATGTATCTTAAGCCAGTCAGAGAAAGATAAATATCACATGATCTCCCTCATATGTGGGATATAATGATCAGTATACTTTGATGAACAAGAATAGATCCAGAGACAAATGGCAGGGGAAGGAGGGGGTTAGAGAGCAACCAAAGGACTTGTAAGCATGCATATTAGCATAACTAATGGACACAGACACTGGGGCGGTAGGGGCTTGCCCAGGGTGGGAATGGAGGGGGTTGGGGAGGGGGCAGTCAAGCAGAGAAAAAGGAGATATATGTAAAATTTTACACAATTAAAAAAAGAAAATAATAGTAATTTATTTTAGCACTGGGCATCATATGCAGGCATATCAGTATTTATATGAATATTATTAATTATGATGAAAAATACTTGTCATATTAGTACATAATGGGTAAAACGTGGTGAGTGCTTTAATAAACTGGATAAACTTATTTTAGCTCAATGGTTTTCAAAGGGATGGCTTTGCATTTTGGGGAAAATTTGAAAATTATTAGGGTCATTCCAATCAGTGGAACTGACTGAAACAGCTGGCCTTTAGCAGGCGGGAGGTAGAGGATGAATGCTATAAATCCTTCATTGCACAGGATACTTCCATGATTAAAAAATTACAAGGTTTAAATGATTCCAAAAGTTCCAATATATGTTAATATGATTATAAAGCCTTTTTATAAATATCTGAGCCAATAACTTCATTTTATGTACTTACACAAATATTTTTACAAAAATGTAATAATCATTGGATTAATCAGAAAGAAAATGTTCATGTTAATCAAGAAAATATTATATTTTATTCAGAAATTTATTAGAAATTGGTAACCATATTGGAAAATCATATCATCCTACTTGAATTTGGAATAACTAACTACTGTCATCAGTCTCCATTATTCTGTGTATGGATGCAAAGAAGTAAGCACATCAATATATCTTCGAGTTAAGTAATTTCTGCAAAGGATGTATTTTTATACATAACTACATTCAATAACAATTTAGTGTCCTTTTATATGTTCTCATATTAGAGTTAGGTCATTATCTTGATTTTTAAAATATTAGGTGTGGAGCTGAAACCGGTTTGGCTCAGTGGATAGAGCGTCGGCCTGTGGACTGAAAGGTCCCAGGTTCGATTCCGGTCAAGGGAATGTACCTGGGTTGTGGGCACATCCCCAGTAGGAGATGTACAGGAGGCAGCTGATCGATGTTTCTCTCTCATCGATGTTTCTACTAACTCTCTGTCTCTCTCCCTTCCTCTCTGTAAAAAAATCAATAAAATATATTTTAAAAAATATTAGGTGTGAAGATAGGTTATACTTATAAATTATTTTAAAAATATTTTATTGATTTATAGAGAGAGAGGAAGGGAGAGGAGAGGAGAGGAGAGGAGAGGGGAGGAGAAGGGAGGAGAGGAGAGGAGAGGAGAGGAGAGGAGAGGAGAGGAGAGGAGAGGAGAGGAGAGGAGAGGAGAGGAGAGCAAAATATCAATGTGAGAGCAAAATATCAATGGGCTGCCCCATGCATGCCCCCTACTGGGGATTGAGCTTGCAACTGAAGCATGTGCCCTGACCAGGAACTGAACCTGAAATCTTTTGGTGCATGGGAGGATGCCCAACCACTGACCAATGTGGGCCAGGACATATATAAATTCAAATGTATGAATTAATGGGGGTGCCACAGAAAATAGAAATATATTATAAACAGAAAATACCTAATTTGCTGTAGAATATATATTTTTGAGAGATGTTAACAAATTGAATACTAAAAAATATGAGGGCTATATTTAAGTCAGAAATTAGAGATCTGATTTTCTCAGGCATGGTGATGTAAGCAAATTGATTTTCCATTCTGGGTCTGTTACTGATAACTGATATTGCCTGATATTTCCAATTGATCAGTAGACTTATGGGTTTAATTTTCTCAAATTTGTTATGGCCAAATGCAGATTCCTAGTTCTACTGCAATGTTTCTCCTGCTAAATCTTCCTTGTAGTAAAGGGTAGTACAGTCCTAAATTGCTAAGACCTGAAAAGAAGGAGACATTCTAAATTAATTTCTTCTATATCCTTTAATTAATCTATTAGTTAATAATGTAATTTTTTTCAAAATATATCTTGAAATGGCCACTGCGTACTATCTGCAAAAATCCTACTCTCTTGCCATGATCATATATTTCTATTGCTGCATTATTTCCTGGTTTGATTATTGTAGGAAGAATTAAATGATAGGCCTTCCTATTCTCACACAGGGTCTCTGTCCATTTAGAAAAGCTTTTTAAAAAATATATATATTTATGGAAAAAATAGCATTATGATTAAATTGGGATGGTTGAGGCACACAACTACATAATTATCTTACTAATATATGTAGGACACTTGTGTAATTTACTATCCCAACCCAAGTACTTTTAAATGAATGAACACTGCTAATAATTAAGATACAAAAAATGGTTAAACAATGCATGACAGGCAGACTTATATGCGGTGTGACAGTTGTTTTTACTTAGGGTTTTTTAAATTTATTTGTTTAGCTGGTTGTTTCGGTGACAGGGCAAGGGAGAGGTCATTGAAGGGAAGTAACTGCGTTTTGTCATTTTATTTCAGGTAAACATATGCACATTTGCTATGGCTGGTCACAGTCCTACTGCTTAGTAATGGATAAATTTAATTGTCTTCTGTGAAATAGATGTAGTACTAATAATTTTAAAGATGATAAAACTAGGGCACAGAGAAACTTACTTATGAATTAAGTTAGAAAAGAAGAATTAGAACTAAGGTTCCTTCTCCAAGGCCAGCGCTGTGAATATATGAAAGCATCAATTACACTGCCTGCCATTAACAATCTCAATGACCCTTGGCAAATTGCATTAAATGGCTAAGTTTTTCACAAATACAAGAAGAAAGGTTTGAACTAATTGAACTTTAACATTCTAGCTAGCTCCAAACACCTACCATCATATAAATTTAAGAATGTAATGACTGAGGTTCAGTAGGTTAATTTTCATTAATAATAACAAGCAAAGTGATTTGACATTGCTCTTCTCAACTCATTGACATGTTTATATAATTATCTTAAGTGCCCTTTGAATAGTTGGCAAAGGATACTTGAAAATCACTTCACTTTAGAACAAAGATTATCACCCAGGATTTAAGTTTTTTTCTCACCTTATGTTTTCTTTCTTTTTCTTAGGCTTTATCAGTGTGTATGTGCCATATACAAAGAAATAAATGTGGCTATATTATATAATATACAATCACGTTAAAATGACTTGTAATCCACATTACCTAAGGTGGTACCTAGAGTATGGAGTATATAGAGAATACCCAAGAATGTTTGTTCAATGTATTTAATAAATAATTGAGGTGCTGAAAAGATGCGTGTATTCAAAATGAAGAAAACACAGGTTAAAAACCAATGTCTAAGTCCAGAAAAATATTCCTCCTTTGTTGATAGCCAGTTTTGCTATCCCCATTAAACCTGCAAGTATTTCAAATAGATTTACATGAAATAGACTATCTTTCAAAATTATCTTAAAGAAAAGTACATCAAGATCTACTGGAAATATTGGCTAAGTTAAAATTACTATAGGAATTAATTTTGTGTTTGCTATAAATGCAGTCTTGTCAGGATTTTCAAATTCATTGAAACTGATACTTTAAAAAAATGAATCTATGGATTCATTCATGTACTCAAGGACAGAGATATTTCAAAATTCAAAGTAATCTAGCTCTTTACAATGTTATACAAAAATATTTGGTTAGTGCCTTTCATTTGTACCTTAGATGAATAATTGCATTGAGTGAAAATTTTTGTTTGAATAATGTTATATATAATAGTATGCTCACACAGAATATATTATAATACTACTCTTTCCTCATCATCCTATCATGTCAGATAAGGTTTATTTCCTTTTAAGAATAGCCATGGCCAGTGTTGTTGACAGTGGTTAGAGCATGGAAAGGTCACAGGTTCCATCCCCAGTCTAGTGGAGGCCTGTGTGGGAGGCAACCAATTGATTCATATCCTATTCATGTTTCTCTCCTTCTTCTCCCTCCCCCCTTCCCTCCCTAACACTCTTTCTAAAAGTCAATGGAAAAATTTCCCCAGTGAGGATTAACAAAAGAAAAAAAAAGAATTCCCAGAATATTTGCATTTAATTCAACTGCAGGGATTATTACATTCTACTACTTATCACATGCCTCTTCCCCTCCTCCTTGCAAATTCTAAGTGTCTTTCTAGCACCTCATTTATTTATTCAATCATTATTCATTGAACACATTTTCTTGGGTCCTCTCTCTATGCTAGTCACTAGCATATACTTGCATATATGCTAGGAGAGATGCGTTAAATGTAAATAAGACAACAATTATCCCTGCCTTCCAAGCACTTACATTATAGGCTACTAAGGAACTGAGATATGCAAGCATTTGAAATAAAACTTATTAGCATTATGATAGGGTAAGAAGAGAGCACATCTTTTGAGGGAAAATCAGAGGTTTGTTTATCTCAATATCAAATCATTTAGGACTAGGTCAATGCCAGTCACATAGAAAATGCAAATGCATATTCATGGGCTGAATATAGGTGTGAATGAATAAATACTATCAATAACCTATTCTTAATTAAAAACCAATTTTTCTTAGGTATGAGACTAAATATTTCAAACTTATTTTGTGCAGGTCTCAGCCTATCGATAATGATGTTATTGACTAGGAATGCCTGGGAACTCACTATTTTGCTAGGAATGTCGGTGCCACTCACTTGGGCAGGTACTACTAGTTGGGAAAACCACAGACATTTCCCCTACCAAAGCCCATGTGGTAGCTGGACTGGCCCTTTTTATATGGCTGTAAGACGAATCTCAGTAACGACCATCAGGGACCTTGTGAAAATGAGTTTTATTACTACAAATCCTGAAGAATACAAGGCACGAGCAGGCCACATGGCAAGGTCACATCTTAGGTAAAGAGATAGAGAGCAGACCTGGGGTTCAGCCTGGCTTGGGGTCGAGGGTGGGGTGGGATGCATAAAGTTTCACAAGGTCACTCTTTTTGTGAATTTAAAAGGTAATAGCAGGAATTTAAATGCCTGAAGGGGAAAGCAGGGTCACACAAAAGGTCAATTATCTGGGTTACCTAGGACTTTCTATAAAGAGGAATTTCATGTGTTGGGCAGCCTGTTTTTTTATCTAGTTATGTAGCTGGCGATGTGTTTGTTAAAAACAATGCCATTGAAGTGGATGCCTTGGTGATCTAAAGCTTAACGTTAGGCACTATTGCCAAAGTGGAAATAAATAAAAACCTAATTGTCAGGCCCTCACTATAGCACTTCACTGCATATTTTTTAAAAATCTGGAAACACCCACATACACATACAAACACATACATCCTGTCATTGAGCCTTATTGGGGTTAATGATACTATTCAAGGTCACATTTAAGTAGGAGCAATTAAGGGGAAGAACCTGTCTATGAATCTAGGTCTGTCTGCAGCAAAAGTTCTATTCATTCATTATTCTGCACAGTAAGCAAAATTAAATTTTGACAAGTGTGGACACTATCCATCTTTATTATATTTCTTATCCTGTGCATTTGACTAGACATGCAATAAACATTTAAAATATGTTAACTTATATGACTAATTGAGTTTTTCATTTTTGCATGTTTCAGATGCAGCTTTTCTCTTGGTTACACCGACAGATTCTGTATTCTCAGTGTTGGAAATTGCTTAGGAAACCAGAGTACATCACTGCATGGCCTCTGCCAGGTCCATTTGCACAGCTGTAACTGTAGCTGTCTGCAAATATATGAAAGAAACATCTGTGAAATAGAAAGTGAAGATTGTAAATCTATGCCCTGCAAAAATGGAGCCACCAGTATCATTTTAAATGGCTATTTCTTCTGCACGTGTGTCCCTGGATTTACAGGCAAGTATTTCCTGAGAAATCAAATTCTCTATTGGAAATGTTAATACATTTATTTAACATAACTCAGAAGTGTCTAATGATTGGTGTTGTACCCTGCTTTCTCATTTGGCAAAGTAAAAATACGTTCACTTTGGAATAATAGAATTGCTTCTTCATGCAATTACATTGCTGACTACACAGCCTTGGCTCATGCAAATGAGGCTAATAAGGCCAGGCTCTACCATTTACAATATGATGTATATGTCAAAGGTCTGAATAGAAAAACAGACTCCATAACCTCCCAATAATTTTGTCTAAACAGCTTTAGTACTGCCCTTCAACCTCATCTTTGGCTGCCTAAGCATATTGAGAACCTTTTTTTTTTTGGTTTGAAAATAAAAGTTGGTTTCAGTATTTTCTAGGTCAGTTTTATGACCCAGCATTAATAAGATTAGAAAAATAAAATCACTAACATACTATATCCTCTGTAAAGTCATAGATGAGATTCACAGTGTCTATGTAGTAGTAAAGCAGTTTTTGACATAAAAATGTAAGATATTAAGCATTCAAATTTTGTTACTTGCAAGTTTATGCTTGGCCTTATATAAAGTGATTGTTCATAATCATTTTAAAAATTCTTTATTATAATTGCCTTAGAGAAAGCAGTAAGGAAGCCATACACGAAGAAAATAATATTGGTACTTTTAAATCACAACTAACTTTCAGTAAAATATTTTTTTAAGTTTGATATTTCATTTTATTGAACAGACCCAACTCTAAAAGTTATTTGGATTTCCATCTTAAAATGAAAATCAGTTTCCCTATTTGATATTTAAAGTACTATGCTGAAAGTTTTGGAGGCAATTTAAAAAGATAAGTTCTAAAAATGGAAATGGCACTATCATTGGAATAAATATATTGCCATCCAGATTAGCTCTTAAAAGATGAAAATATTTGAGTGCACAAATTCTGGTAGTCTTGCTAAAAAGTTGGTACCATTACATCATATTTCTCATTCCAAACATATTCTTAGTAAGAATAAAATAGCATACAGTGTACTAGACTTGTTGAAACACAGTTATCTGCCTTAGGGGGGAAATATATATATATATATATATATATATACAGATATCACATAGTATCTCCTCTGAAATTTTGTGATAATATAGCCTTAAGCATCAGTTATACATAAAATAGAATAAATTAAATTTTACTTTTCTTAATATAATTACTAAGAGTAAACATTTGATGTTTGCATAGACTATATACATATGCTTAAACATATGTACATACTTATAATCAGTGAGCAATCTATTATTTTATCTATCAAGACTGTATTTTGGTTATAATAATATGAACATTAAATATGTGTTATACATATATGTTTTTCATATGGGTAAACGACACACCTATGCAATACTTACCATTGGTTTATAATGGAAACTTGGTACAACTCAGTTCCCAGTTGGGAATAAAAATATGATTACTTTTAATTTACTTTTCAAATTAAACTCAATTTAAGATTTATCAGCCTATATAATCCAGAAGACTGGTATTTTCTATGAGGTCTATTTTCCCCAGATTGGAAAGAACTTTGTGGGTATCAGTCCTACTTCTAAACTCATCACACAGTAACAGGGTATTTGCTCTCTTGAGAGTGGTTATGTCTTAGGAGAAGGGTCTGAAAAGAATCATTTCAAAGGTGTTTTAATCTAGATGCACAGAAACAATGGACAGATGAGCCTTTTATAAAGAAATTGTATGCCCATGGCATGACTACTCACTATGATCTTACCGGTTAGGAATTTATGATCAGATCTGTGTGTTTTTAGAAGTTTTGTTTTCAGTCTTACAGTTTTGGGTTTACTTTTTACAAAAACATGAAAAATGCTCCTTCTTATGTTATACTCTGAAATATTTAAAATAACATGTTTTAAAAGGATGCAAAAATTTCTAAGAGTTTGCTAGCAATTAAAAAATAAACATATCTGTTTATTGCTTTTAGGAAGGTTAGTTGTTCTATAATCTTAACAGCTCCCAGGGTTTTATTTACTCAATTTACTAACTTGTATTATTTGATATAAGTATTAATATCATTTTGGCATTTAAAATTTTAATTGTAACAGAGTAATAATTTTATTCGAGGCAATGTTTTGCTCTTCGTTTTCTTTAATTTTGTTTCTTTGTTAATCCTTACCATATTTGAGAGGTAATATTAAAGAAAAAGCAATGGGAAAGAGGGCAGTTAGGTGCTTGTTGCTCTGGAAGATTTCTACCTATCCTTTGTGGGTTTATACTTAGACTTCTCCAAAAAATACACAGAAAATATGTAACTTTTAAAATGACAAAGGAATTTCAGCCTCACTGACAGCAGTGTTGTTAATGTGATTGGACAACAGCTCTTTAGCTATAGAACTACACATTTTTTTCAGATTCTCATTTCATTCTAAAGTCTGGTTTAACCTAAACTCATTAAAATGCAAAAGCTATGCAAACCAATGTTTGCATAATTATAAAATAATTTAGTAAATGTTGCATTTCAGGAAGAAAAAGGTTATGTGCAGGATTTAATTAGTGATCTGGCAACACAAAATATTCAACATTGGTTTTAACTGTATGAACATCTGGGATTTTCTCCAAAAGAACTAGATTTCTAAAGGTCAAGCATTTATATTAAAGTACTATAAAATAACTATCTTGTAATAAGAAGGATGAGCAGCTTTTCATCAGAAGTAGTACAAATTAACTTCCCAGGGGAAGGGGCCAAATAAATTTATATTACACAAGATATTTATTCTGATATATTTATCATTTATGCTGAGTTCATTTGTACACTGTGGAGTATTCAAACACAATCTTATATAATACAAGCCTAATATGCTAAGTGTCCAATTGTTCAATTGTTTGACCAGTCACTAGGATGCGCACTGACCACCAGGGGGCAGACACTCTGATTGGTAGGTTAGCTTGCTGCTGGGGTCCGGCCTATTGGGACTGGGTGAGATGGATTGGACAGGCCCTGGAGCCCTCCCATTATCCCTCCTTGGCCCGATCGTGCACCAGTCAGGTCCCTTGGTCTGGCCAGTGCCCTTCACAATCTGGGACCCCTTGGTGGATGTCAGAGAGCTGGTTTCAGCCCGATCCCTACAGGCCAGGCCAAGGGACCCACTGGTGCACGAATCCATGCCCCAGGCCTCTAGTTAAAATCCTATATAATAAAATGCTAAAGCAACTCAACGGCAGAATGACCAGTTGCTATGACGCACACTGACCATCAGGGGGCAGACGCTCAACACAGGAGCTGCCTCCTGGTGGTCAGTACGCTCCCACAGGGGGAGCACCGCTCAGCCAGGAGCTGGGCTCACGGATGGCAAGCACAGCGGCAGTGTCAGGAGCCTCTCCCTTCTCTGCAGCAGTGCTAAGGATGTCCGACTGCTGACTTAGGCCCCTTCCCCATGAGAAGTGGGTCTAAGCCATCAGTCGGACATCCTCCGAGGGCTCCCAGACTGTGAGAGGGCATAGGCCAGACTGAGGGGACCCCCACCCCCCGAGCGCACAAATTTTGTGCACCAGGCCTCTAGTATAAGCATAAATGTCAACCACTATTGGATAAAGTAGCTAAAGGAGAAGTGGATTTTGGTTTTGTTTCAGCTAGAGACAATCATCTTGACAGAGCACTGTACTTCTTTTCAATTTTCCATTCTATAGGTCGTTATTATATTTCTTCTTTTTCTGCTTGTCCCACATTAATGAGAAATATTGAATGGATCTTGAGCTCCCTGAGAGAAACCCAATATATTAACAGAAAGTGGTAACATGGCTATAAGAATCCTTTAGTTGTTCCAGGCTTTATTTAATTTCATTCTTAAAAATTTTCCCACTGTTGTTAAAAAAATATCAATAAACCAACTTCCACCAAACATTAAAACAAACAAAAAACCCCCACCAAGCTATAAACCCCAGTATCTGTTTCTAATCACATCAAATATCAAGAAGTCCAAGACTACAAAGCATTAAAAACATGTGTGCCTTAATTTTGATGTGAAACTACACAGCATAAATAGGTAGCGTGTTACTGAAAACTAATTTTGGTATTTTTTCTTTTTATTCAAAGCATTTTTAGTTTTTTAAAAGAAAAAACTACTACTCATTATTTAGGATTTTTTTAATTTAAATGAATTGCTACTCATTGCTCAGAATTTGATTTTTTATTTAAATGAATTTAAATAAAATTGAAAATATACTTTATAAATATTAAATAAGTCACACGTTAAGATTTTTGCACATACCAATCTTTGTATTTTCTGTTTTGTTTGTTCGTTTTGTTTTGTTTTCTCTAACCTGAAGAATGAGTAGTTAAAACCAAGTTTGGGACAAATCATGTCAAAATGGAAGTTATGTGAGTCATATTAATGGTTAATATGCAACAGCCCCGATGTTCAGTATCACAGGCATAACTTTTAAATAAAGATAAGGAACCTACTATTAATTTTCCTAGAAATAACTTTCCTTTGCTTTACATGTTTAGTGCAAGTCAATAGAAAATTATTCTTTATTATAGACTAGTGGCCCGGTGCATGAAATTCGTGCACAGGGGAGGGGGTGTTCCTCAGCCCGGCCTGCACTCTCTCCAATCTGGGACCCCTCAAAGGATGTCCTACTGCCTGTTTACAGGGATTGGGCCTAAACCAGCAGTTGGACATCCCTCTCGCAATCCGGGACTGCTGGATTTGGGAAGTGGGGCAGCCTTGATGAGGGGCTGATGGCTGTTTGCAGGCTGGCCAAGCCCCCCAGCGGGACCCTCTACCCCATGGCGGTGTTGCCAGCCTGTGTTAGGGGCTGATGGCTGTTTGCAGGCTGGCCAGGGCCCCGGGCAACCCAGTCTCCCAAACCCTCCTTGAGCAGAGGCCACAGAGGCTGGAAGCAGGTATCTGGGATTTATTTATCTTCTATAATTGAAACTTTGTAGCCGTGAGCGGAGCCCACAGCCAGCCCGATCGTGATCACGGGGCCGCAGGCAA